TCACTCTGGACAGCAGGGGTAATTGGATATGTATTTGTTACGTATTTGTAAAGGACAATTGATAGACTTTTAGGTATAATACAAGGAAAGGAATCGTTCTCGTTCTAAGTGAAGCATTGTTTTCGTTCAGAGCTTTCTTGAAGGAGTCTGGCCATCTCCTTGGCGGCCGTCCTGGGGTTCGCTTGACGTCCTGAAGGATAACCGTCATGGTCCAGCGGTCGTCACAAAATCCCTTTACGTAACCTACCTAGCTAGTCTTTGATTTTTTGCGTAAACAGCGGCATCCCTGATCTTCATTCGTTGACGCAGCTTGAAACTCTGGATTCCCACTTGCGTGTATACAGCAATTCTGAGCATCGTCCTTTTTACACTGATGACGCTGAATGCATGTTCATCCTACTTTCATAAAGTTCAGATGAAATGCACATAGTTTACGAGAGCTCATACCTGTTCTACGGAGTAGCAAAAACTCATCGAGACTTCCGTAACCCTCGAAAACTCTATAATGTGGCGGAGTCCACTCTTTTCAGCATATTTATATTACATGAGCTTAATAGGCAGTAATCTGAGGATGGATTCGCATTATGATTTAATCAAGCTTACAAACATAGTAGCGCTATGCGACGGCGGCCTGAGCCAAATGAGGCGAAGGAGGAGCACTATTCGAAAACAGCGTTCATGCTAAGCCTGTGTGAGTAGCCGCCTAAACTAATTGGTTGAAGAACAAAAAAAAAAGCTAAAATTCCACAGAAATCCACAATCCCACAGTAACAAAGAAAATATAGAAGCAACAAAACGGGATCGCTCAGACAAGACATCTCATATTATCACAAAATGCTGTAGTTTCAGAAATCAAGGAAAACAAAAGTTTCAATTCTATTGGAACAGATTCCAGGTTGAAGTCCGCAAGGGAATACTAACGATCAACGAAGAAATTGAAAAATTGTATTAGGTTGGAAGGAAAGTCCTGCAACACAATGAAGGTCTTTTTCAAATCATTTCTAAAATTTTCCAGACCAATCCATTTTCGGAAATGTATTTACCAAAGAGGTCAACAACCTTCTATTATCCTTTGAGTGAATCACTGATGCCTTTTATCCAGTAGTGAGGAAGCTGTGACTCAAATAAGTAATTGACTGCCGTTTTCAGGTCACATTACGAATTTTTTTTCAACAATGGGATGCTCAAGTAGACAGAGCGCATGGTAGGTAAAAGGGGCAACACTTAGGGAGCACGACTGGTAAACAACCTGGATCCAATTGGAATCGTAG